CTCCCTTCACGTAATTAACCGCAAGCACACAGATTTGTCATTCTGTTGATCTTGGCTGTTTCACCTTTCATAAACTGCTGATTTCCTGGTTGATTTTGTCAATCTCGGCGTTTCTTTTCATAAATCAGTAAAGTCGTGTGTAATGGGTGGAATAACAATCTAAGATGTTCGCAACAGGAGGGCAATTCCATATAGACCGTTCTGATTCAAAAATTTCCAACAAAGAAATGTACAGCAACGGCGACGAATTGATCTGGACAAAAGGAAAGGTTTCGACCTTACGGCATTTAATTTCAGCACAGCACAAGTGATGGATCCTGGATCGAAAGTTTGGCTCGACTCCGGCCGACTCGAGGACAATTCATAGAAATTGATGGTCAATCCTATGAAATGCCTTGGACTGTTCTGGTTGATCAGCAGTGGTGATCTTTTACTGTCAACTTGAATGGAAACAGAAATCTCTTGTAAAGCACATATATCTACTCCTTTGCCCTGGTTTTGATTAATTAATTGATTTTCAACCTGCGAATTCCAACAGACTCATGACATTCAGACTAGCTAAAAAGAGTGACATTATCAGATCTAATAGGGTTTTCAGTCTATTTCACAAAATTTGCAAATATAAGACATTATCAGGATAATGATATTCGACAGCCTTTTAATTAACCCTGACCCATTTTAGTCCGGGAAATTTAAGGTTAGTACATCTGTAATTATATAGTTCAATCCTGGGACGGACGGTATGTACTTGGACTCCGTGGAAACCGGAAAGAAATAACTGAACAGTACTAAAAATAAGAACTAGACGAGATATTCCTCGACACGGACAATGGAACAAGAACTGTTTATACCCGTAGACTAAATAAATCGTTCACTTCAGAATTCCCTGTAGGTTAGTGGGATCGATATACACATAATGAAGGCCGGAGAACCCAACGATTAAAATGTTGTGAGAACAACAAAGTAAATAATGTAAGCAATGCAAATACTTTAAATTAATTTCAGGTGGGGGTGACACAGGGTCATGAAAAGAAGGGTTTTATTTTAAGTAGAAATTAATGCAGCGCATTATGCATTAGAAATTAATGCAGCGCATTATGCATTATGCATATTCTATGTAAATTCCCCTTTTTTATCATCGCGGTTTCCTAGGTTCGCATATCCCGCCATTGACACTCCTCTACGGTCTTTTGAACAAGTCTATCCCTTTAATTACGCTATTTACATCGTTTTGTCTTCATGTTTATTGCAATATTCGCGATGTTTCGGTCGTTGTACGTTCCGGCCTTCTTCAGCTGATATACGTTGGAATTGCGAACCGAAACCTTTTAGTCCATGAGGGTAGACCGGCCCAGTGGATAAAAGCATTGGTTGAGTAATCCAAAATGTGAATTGACCCAAAGAGCTGCGAGTTCAATACATGGCCACAGCAGAGGCGAGTTACTTAAGGATTTACTAAAAGGAATACACTGAAAACTAAGATATCCAAAAAACGGCTTGGCCTGTGGAATCAGACAAACTACCGCGTGGACTATATAAAGGATTCGGTTCGAAATTCTATCGTATATTACCTGAAGAAGGCCGGAGCGTACAATAAAGATGACAAGAGTCTGGATAGTGTAAATACTTATAATACGTCATGTCCCTTTTCCTTTGGTCACATTTTTTTTTAAATATAATTTCCTTCTAAATCGGATGTAACTCTATACTTTCAACGTTCCCACCTGAACTCTGAGATTTTATTTACTAATTATTTTTGCTCCTCAATAGGAGTAAATAGTTGGGCCTAACATCCGGTTCACACTCCACCATAGTCTTTTGGACAGGAGTAAAGTTGTATCCTTTGTTCCCGTTTCTTGGATCTTAATGGCCTTATCACAATTTTTGTGGGTGGATTGATATTTTTTTTAAAAGGTAATATTAAAAATAATGAAAGTAAACATGATTTTTTATTATTTATGAAAACAGGTAGGCTTCAAAAAGCTTTCTGGAGTTTGTTAATTGAACTGCGGTGTTTTTTTCTTTATTGATTAGTTGGAACATATTTAGTTTCTGATTAGTTCGAAAAGATCTTTCAGTACTTGGTTGTTGTTCATGATGACGGTCGTCTTTGAGTATAGAATCCAGAGGTTAGCAGTGAATATTTCGAAGACAGTAGGGAAGCGTTGTTCAGGTTAGCAGTGGATATCCCGGTAAAGTAGCAGAGCGTAGTTCGTCCTTTCTTCCTTCTGTTCTTTCGCCTGACAAGTTGGCACTGGACATTCGGATAGAGTAAACAAAATGGCCGCCTTTATAAACGACGGATTGAATATTTTACGTCTTCTGATTGGTTAACCTTCTATTGGTGGACTATAAAGTGAGTCAAGTCATTTTTTGGCTAACTCACTAGTAAACATACCCCCCCAAAAAAAAACTGCAAAATAGGAACCTTCTAATAAAGATAAAACCACAAACGCATACTACCCTTTCGGCTGGAGCTTCAGAATACGTTGACTGCGTGTCTTCAGAGGGATACCCCCATCCCAATACTGCATCCTGGTTATAACGATAAACTACATCCGGCAGCAAGGTCTCTGATCAAGAGATTATGAGAAGCGTGGGACATTCTCTTAAAAATATTACCTGGCGGAGAAAATTTAAATTCTTGAAAGATATGATTCTCTTTTTGAAACTAAGAAATGTCATAATCTTATAGAATACCCTGATATCTCCTCTTAACGCACAAAACTAATAAGTTTATATACGTTTATTTATTCTATTTACAGATCGCAAATAGATTGTATTCGTATATTCGATATTTTTAACTTGACATTTTCAATTTACTAGAGAAACATCGACACAAATTTTTAATTCGAATATTCTGCAATTCTTTTTTTATCTTAGGAATTTCATGGAAACGGACATTTTTTTAACCTTTAACCGGTCTTACAAAGTTCAGAGGCAGTAGACAATTAGCACTGTTGCATATTATGATTTAAATAGAATATTATAGCTATGACTGTTTAAAATGTATTTGATGATTTGACACTGGAAGATACAATCAGAGGACAATATAAATACACTGCAATGTGGTACTGAAATAATTCAACTAACAATTCAATGGTAAGAAACACCACATCGTAATTTACTTACGCAATGCTTTCATTTGAAAACCTGTCGCATTTGACTAACTGGTTAGAAATCCGTTCTTCCAAATCAGGTGCATCCTGGTTATCTTTGTTCGTTAATTAAATCAGGAAATAATTAGCATTTTAATCGACATGCTACACACACAGACATCAGATTAATAATGACATCACAAAGAATCTAAACCCACATATATATGAAGATGTGCGCGCACGTGCAGTTACCTCCCGGATTATCCGTGGTAAGGTGGTGCTTTTGGATTGTGGGCGGGTGATGAAGAAGCGACGGATCATTAATTAAGGATTTGAGCATAAAAATAGTTGGTTCGAGAGCGGAACAACGGGGAAAGAAAGTCTGAAATTAAGCCTAGTTTAATGTATCTTTTGAAACCTGTTCTTTTTTTTTTTTGCTTAACATGTATTGAACGAAGAAAACATGACGCGCTTTAATGGAAGCCAGTCCGTTAGATACGGAGTAATGAGCGCACACTTGCCCTTGTGCCAGTCTAAGCGTAATGAAGTTAGGGTGCAGATTAATGGGACACGTGCAGACTAAGAGATCTCATTTCACTTTCCACATATGATTACATTCATTTCAATATCTAGTCTATTCCGGTAGTGTTTGAAGCCTCTTCCTTCAAACTTGGACCTTACGTCCTCGTCTGAGATGTCTGAGAGACTGCCCACCTCCTCTCTGGGATGGTTGCTTATGTATCGTTCTCTGAAAAAAATCACTTTATTTTAATATGATATCAGTTTTTTTTTTTGTTTTTTAGTGAAAATAACATCCAACGTAAGGAGAAACATTTATCTCTGCCCGGCATTCACTGCCATATAAGATGACAATCTCCACACGGATGAGGTTAAACAAGAGTCTACAGAAATGTGTTTCTACAGAGGGATACTGAGAATTTTACAAGCTACAAGGAAATCAAAGAAAATGGTAGCAGAAAGAACACTTATACTTTGAATCAGGAAAAGTTTTCTGAAATATTTTGAACACATAATGAAGAAGGCGGGCTAGGAAAACTTAACCCTCACAGGGAATTTTGAGGGCAAGAGAGGTAGGGGAATTTAGTGAGCCACCTATCTGACGAGGTTATGTGAAAGGAGAATGGAGCGAGGAGGAGCCTTAGCAAAGTGAGAACAAACTACTCACGGCCATAAGGGAGAGTTGGTTTTGAAGAGTCATGATCTTCCATGTCCTGAAGGGAGGCGGCAAATAAAAGTTCTTGTAAAAGGTGGTATATCTCGACCATACACTTCCAAGACATCCTGCAGCAATGCGGTGTTGTGTTTCTGCAGTCGGCGACCGGGAATGAACTCAGTAATCCTGCACCTGATTCCCTTGATAGTCTGATTTGAAATTGGGGGCAACGCCTATTAAACCTTTTAAGTTACACATGACAAATACTGATATCCCCGAAAAGAAAAAAAAACCTATTCAATTATTTCTTTATAAATCATCAATAGGAAGAAACAAATTGATGTTTACAATTCTAGAAAAAAAAAATACCAGTTTGGCTTTTTTCGACTGGTCTCTTCTCTCACCATCTTCTGTTGAATCTTTTTTCATCTGCTAGTATTCAGGCCTTATAGTTTTCACGCATATTTGTAATGGAATATTAATTTCAGGATGCTGAAAATCATGTTTCTGGGCAGAATTTTTTTTTTTTCTATATTAACAGCGAATTTCCCCCATTACATGGAAAATATATTCGCGTGGTTTCGCGTTGCCTGTTGTATAGTCTTTAATTCAGGGTAGTATTTTCCGAGATTGGCTACCATCCATATCTAGAGACGCAGGTGTGTGCTGTTATCTAAAATATACCATGAGGGAGAAGCGATGCCTTTAACTAACCGCATCCGTGGAGAATGAACACTCGTCCGCAATTCGCACCAACGACTGCTAAAAGAACTGTACATCGTCGTGTTAAGTGTTTTTTTTTTTTTGTTTTCTTAAAATATTATAAAATATTTACCCATCAATATAGTTTTATATATAATTTTATTCTCTTTCATATATATATATATATATATATATATATATAAACAATAACTTTCGATTGTTTTCATATTTTAGCAGAATATTATTTTTATCGGAATGATATCGCTGACGGACTTCCTGAAATTGAACTTTCAGATGGAAGACAAAACAAGGAAGTCTATTTTGATTGGCTAAACGAGCGTCAGAACGATAGATAGGGAAACGGATTTCAGTGAGTTGTTTCTTAACAGTCAAACAATGTAGACATTTTATTTTTTTTTTTTTTTTTTTTTTTTATGTGTCTGAAATGGCTCCCCAGTAGAGAAGTGAGTGACCCCATTGGATAACTAGAAATGTACACGTCGATGTTAATAAAATAGTTAAAATTCCCTGTGTTGAAGTTCTTTCTATCTTGAACCAAAACAACTAGCGATCTCCGGCCGCAAGAGAGAAGAATGCAACTTTATTATTGAATTGACACCGTCGTCCATGACTTCCCCGGTTAGATATACAACATTGTATTAAATTGGCTCAGTGACCTAGATCACACCGCCAAGGGGCAATATAGCACTTATACAAAGGAATATTGTTTGGTGTTTGAACTTTGATTCAACCAACCTACGCTATTCCAAGAATGCTAATTCTAAAAATAATGTTCAGATCCTCAAAAACATGAGTTTGTAGTTGTAATTTCAAGTGTCATGAATCAGTCTCCAGTTTCAAAGCCAGAAAATGCCAGTGGGAAGTCGGAAAGAGAAAGATCAGAAAACTACATCTATTTAGATGTGATGGATAAGTTCTTATGGGGAATGATTAAATTGTAATGAATGAATGGGTCGTGAATCTGATTAACTAGGTCAAGGATAGCTAATTGTTATGGGGTCCACCCCAGAATACAAGTTATATCGCTTAATATGTAAGGTACTGCTGCCCCAAATACCGGGAGATATTTGAGTAACAGAGAAATTGTAAATAATTATATAGGCCGCACTACAACATGATTGACACGCAGACTCACTCTACACCTTTCTGACTATAGTTCAATTAAATCGCATTTAAATATTCCTGGGGACCTACCGGACACTATTTGTAAAATACTTGTTGACAAGACTAATATAATAGCATCATCTACATGCAAAAAAGACTAAAAATAATGGAAACCTTATTAATAATAACAAAAAGAAAACAACACTTAATAATATTAACTTTGAACATGGACACAAGATGTTGACCGTGTTTTTAAAAATGAAAACATTTTATAAAACATACATACAAAAAACTTATTTCACAGTTAAAATATTTCATCCTTGAAAATGGTTAAATGTATAGCCGAAAGCGCTCGGATAAAAAGAACATTCGGACAGTTTTTATATAATTTATCATCCGAAAAGAAAAAAATTATTATCGCATGAGAAATTGTATAAAAAACTAAATAAAAAACAACCTTGTCTGTTGTATTCAATGAAATGTGCATATATATATATATATATATATATATATATATATATATATATATATATATATATGTGTGTGTGTGTGTGTGTGTGTATATATGTGTATGTGAAAATATTTATATAAATATAAATAAATATATATATGTATAATTATTTATATATTATATATATATAATATATAAAATATCAATATCAGAACATATACATATTTGGTTGGATAGATGTGAGTTTTTAAGAATATATAAAAAAAAAGGAATCGTTTTATTTTTCGCTAAATAATTTTACCCAAGGTCACAATCTCACATCTATCCAACTAAATATATATATATATATATATATATATATATATATATATATATATATATATATATATATATTAAATTAAAATAGATAGAATAAGGACTAAGAAAAATAACACGCATCCAACGTTATGGCTGATTTTAACATCTCGGATAGCAATCATTTGTACCTTCTTAGGTTCCTGTTTTCCAGTTACTAGGTCTACTGCGATAATAATAGTTTGTTTATGTTGTTGTTCATTTTAACTATTTGTTCATTTATGTCTGCTGCATTTAATTTACTTGTAATGTAATCATAAATTCTTGGTAAGTGATTGACGAATCTTTAAAGTTTATTTTCTAGTATCTACCTTGAAATAAATGTAAAAGAAAAAAGTAGACGCTCCTTCTTCAACATGTCCTAACTTGATTGTAAATATTTCTCTCTTTCCTTATCAGGTTTGACTTCACAGAACCATCCGGGCATGAATGAGGAGAGTCTGGGCCATGAGAAATGAAAGATAATTCCATTTTAAGTGATGGCAATCTCACCAAAAACCGAGACATTTGACCAATTAGTCTAGCTTCAAATAAACGTGCCTGGTCTCTCTCACTAACAATTCTGTTTAGGCTTTTTTGTTTTCGAATGCCTAAAGAAAAACAGAATCTTTATATAATGGCAATTTAATTTTACGTTAGATATTAGTTTGATTGGAGTTATTTCAACTAAATAAAACTTAAAACGTAATAGTTAATAATATACTGACAGTCCTCTAACTAATCTCTACCGTAATCCATTTATTCGAATCTATTCTCACACTCGGGTCTCTAACACTCTCACTTAGATATTAATTTTTTGGACGGTAGAGAGATGGGAGGGAATGGAATGAAGAAAATTTGGCTTGGCAAGACAGCTGGTCAGAACTGAATAGCATCTCTTGGATTATATCCCATGATCAGCTTTTAACCCAGCAAGGCTCGCGAGTTGGAGTTTCATGTTTGAGTTTCATGGCTTTCTGCGCTAATTCTGCTACACCAATTTAAGAGTGCTCTTACTTGACGAAATAAGTATTATATCGCACTAAATTTATGTATATAAGAGTAGCCCTTGTTTTGCTATGAGACAATGCAACTCATCAAAATTAATTGTTAATTCGTTAGGAAATGGCGGCTACAAACAGCGCTAACAATTCAAAGCTGAGTACATATATTTGAATCGTAGATGAGATGAACTGTATACCATCAACACATCTGCCTACGCTTCGAGAATTTATTTATTTCATTTATTTATCTATTTTTCTTTTAATAGTAGATATATAATATAAATAATTTTTATCACAAGTTACCAAACATCGCCTGGGGAAGTACAACCATAGTATTGAACCATGAAAAGATTTGTGTAAAATATGTATAAAAATGTTTTTATTATAATGTCTTATAATAAAAATATAACAATAATAACAATAATAATTATATATATATATATAACTCATTTCCAATAGCATTTTCGGATACAACAATACATATATTTTCGTTGTCCTCTTATTACTAAGAGAAAAAACAAGAACAACATCTATTCCATACCTGAAGATGTCTTTAGGAACAGACGAAAGCTTGTAGTAAAAATAAGAACTAATGCGGCAGAAATTTATAAAACAAGGATCTTTTCATTCATAACAATGGATTCAGGGGTTTTTGTATATTATTTGAATTGTTTGCGACGATGGATTTCTCGCCAATTAAATCATTAACCTTTGCATTTGTTTTGTGTGAATAATTCATGAATATATATATATATATATATATATATATATATATATATATATATATATATATATATATATATATATATATAATATATATATATATAATATTTATAATTTATATACAGTGTTGTTCGATAACAGTGTCTCATCTGGTATTTTTTACTAAATGTTTCTCTTCGATGAAACTAAAGTTGAAAATTCAAAGGATAAGCGATCTAAAAAATCCGAAGAAGAAAAAAACTAAGCTCTTTAGATTTAAATAGTATATAATGTCAAGCATCGTTCAGTATAATGTTCTGGGGTGCTTTTTTTTTCATGGAACTGGTCTCTTAAAACCTATTGAAAAGATTCAGGAGCAAGCAGTACAAGAGAATTTTATAGTCTTGTCTGCTCCCTTCTGCTAAATAAAAAAAAATCGACCACAAAGCAGGATAATGCTAATTTATGGAGCATGTTGCTAACTGCTTTCTCGAGATACCTGTACTTTATAATGCTCCATAAGTTTTAATATGGGATTGAGGTCAGGAGATTGGGGCAGCCATATCATAACATAAACCTAATTCTCATCAAAGTATTCCTTCATCAATTTTGATTTGTGACAGGGAGCATTATGAATCCTAAGACTCCTAAGAATTTATTCTTCAATTAACACGGTATTCAAGATGCGGTTTAGACTATTAGAGCACGTGGGGAAAATATATAACAGTCACCTCGCTCTTTGACCCAATCACCTATTTAATCAAAATATGACTTGCATGATGCAACCGCAAATCATGTTTTGATTTCTTTCGAATTCCAGATCATAATTTCTCTTTTAGGAAGTTTTATCTTGAACACTTTTTCTTGGAATATTTGAGAGAAGATGTTGATTATTTTGTTCATAATCATTCTTATTCAAACTAATATATAGTTCAGTTATACCGGGTGTAAAAGCAAAAGTATTCAAATCGTGTAACAGAATAATTATCCATCCCCAAAAAACACTAAACTAATTGAGTTTCTTTTTACTAGGTTTTCATATAAGACGTTTAGCCATCTTGATACCATTTTTGATAAGAATCACATAAAAACCCTTTGATTAATTCAGCTAAAAATATAACAGGCTAAGATCGTTTGGTGTCAGCCCCTTTGTCTTCCCAACGGAGCAATGGCGAGAGGAAAAAGATAATTTAACCCTTCAGTAATGGTACCAACATTCATACTCTGGCTTCCATCTGCAAAATCTATTCCAGAACCCGAACGGTGAATAAGTTTAAAAAAAAACTGGATCAGGAGGTTACAGCATGAAGAGGGATAATCATTTCAACTTAGAACTAAAGAGATCAATTAGAAAAGATCCAACTCAATTCATAAGACGTTTGAGACGTGAGAGAAGAGTTTCAGATATGACAGTCAAATGAACAGTGAAAACAGACTTGAAAGTGAAATCGTATCGGGAAATCTATGAAGCACCTGTTACTCCAGGACAGAAAGTTAGAAGGTTAGAGAGGACAGAGATCAGAAGATTCACCTGAATATGGTGAAAAACGATCCTGGAATTATATATATTTATATATATATATATATATATATATATATATAATATATATTTTAAAAAAAAACAACCAAAACAAGGTACCATTATAATAATTTATTTCATGTCTGGATTTACATAGAAAATTCAAATTTCATCCTCCTTGGGATTACCCATACAAATTACCAAGTTCTTCATAACTTAAATTTATATATGTTATATATATATATATATATATATATATATATATATATATATATATATATATTTTTTTTTTTATTTCATGAACTTCATTTTTTTAGCTATGATTAATTAATGATAAACATATCATTTTCGTTTATGATCGATTTCATCACGATTTTTCTGTTAAGCTTGGAGAGTAATTATACATTGTTATTGCTCAAAGTAAAGTTCAGTAGGGTTATAAAATCCTCGGTGAATTTCACTAAGATATCTTTAGTCTTTTATTTCTAAGATACAACGGTTCAAAGTTAAATCTAAAAATTGGACAATTTTGCTGTTACCCGATTTGGACAATTTTGCTTTTACACGATATGGACAGTTATACCTGGACATATATTATTCAATAATGTATTGAAAATTGAATTAACAAATCGATTTTGAATTTTTTTTTAAATATACTCAGAAAACTTTGGATCTGCATTTCGTGGCTGCCTGACCCAGTGATAGAGACGAAATAAATCGTCCTTTTAATAAAGGCGTAAAAAGGTAAAAAATATATTCGAGAATGCATTTTTCAAGCTGTTAGGTCGATAGTCAGACGGACAGCCGGGACACCAGATCATATATGACATCAGTATTCCATGCAATTGCGAATTGTTGATTTATAGATTTGAAGGATAGACTCAGGCGAGAGAAAAAAAAAAACTCTCTGGCGCGACACAGAGAACCAACTTTAATTGCGGTGGATGAAGCTATTGATTCAATATTTGTTAAAATAGTAGATACTTGAAATTATACGAGGTCAGTTTGTTAAAAAAGGTCGGTTTAATGTAAAAATTTATTTGCACCCGGGCAAGGAACAAAATTCTCCGAGCCCCCCAACCGTCAGTTGCGCTAGCCTTGTTGTGAGCATCGATCCCTCCCTCTGGTGCAATGGGAGTGCGCGGCCTCGGGCAGCTGTTTTCCCCAGGGCTGGGTGTTGTTCATGATGACGGTCGTCTTCGAGTATAGAATCCAGAGGTTAGCAGTGAATATTTCGAAGACAGTAGGAAAGCGTTGTTCAGGTTAGCAGTGGATATTTTGATAAAAAGTAGCAGAGCGTAGTTCTTCCTTCTGTTCCTCTTCGCCTGACAAGCTGGAACTGGACATTCGGGTAGAGTGAACAAAATGGCCGCCTTTATACACGACGGATTGAATATTCTACGTCTTCTGATTGGTTAACCTTCTATTGGTGGACTATAAAGTGAGTCAATTCATTTGGGCTAGTTCACTAGTTACACAATATACACAGAAAACTGCAACACTGGGCACCTCTTCAGTATAATTTTCCTCAGTTTCGACTCTGTCCTTTGACGGAGTCGCCCCTGAGCGCACTCTGTCCAAAGATAGAGGCGCAACTGAGAGTTGATAAATAATACGTAGAAATTACTTAGTAATTTACACGCTTCAATGTATTTGTTACATCTCAGGTCAGTGGACAGTGTGAGACCAAGCAGGCACAGAGAGATCGCATTGTCACAGGAGAAGGGACACTGAAAACAGCCTTATAGGTCATAAAACAAGAATATAGACATTATAGTTACTCAATAACGAATATTTGAAATCTCTTTCTTCTTTGCAATCCGAGAGAAAATGATTTCCATTTGTTTAAAAATATACATTTATATACAAAAAGGCATCTTAATATTTATTTATTTGTATCACATTTTTTAACCAGCTTTCTTTCCTACCAACTTTCTGTTTCTTTCTTTCTCTCCCCCTCTTTCTTTCAATCTTTCTCGCTCTTTCTCTCTTCCTCTACCTCCCTCTCTTTCTTTCCCTCTCTCCTTCTCTTTCACTTTCTCTTTCTCTTTCTCCATTTTTCTCTTTCTTTCTTTCTTTCTTTCTTTCTTTCTTTCTTTCTTTCTTTCTTTCACTCTTCCACCCTATCTTTCTCTCTATCTTTCTCTCTCTTTCTCATTTTTTCTCACTTTCTTTCTCTTTCTCTATCACTTTTTCTCTCTGTTTGTCTCTCTTTCTTTATCTCCCTTTTTTCTTTTCCTATTCCGCCCTTTCTTTCGCTCCATCCCTTTCTCTTCTTCTCTTCTTCTCTCTCACTTTCTTTCTCTTTCTCCATCATTTTTCTCTCTCTCTCTTTCTTTCTCTTTCTTTCTTTCTGTCTCTCTCCTTATTTTTCTTTCACTCTTCCTTCCTCCCTCTCTTTCTCTCCCTCTCTATCTTTCTCTCCCTTCCTCCTTTTTCTCTCACTTTCTTTCTCTTTCTCCATCACTTTTTCTCTTTGTTTGTCTCTCTTTCTCACTTTCTCTATCTCCCTCTTTTCCTTTCTCTATTCCTCCCTTTCTTTCTCTCCCTCCTTTTCTCTTCTTCTCTTCTTCTCTCTCACTTTCTTTCTCTTTCTCCATCATTTTTTCTCTCTTTCTTTCTTTCTCTTTCTTTCTTTCTTTCTTTCTTTCTTTCTTTCTTTCTTTCTTTCTTTCTTTCTCCCTATTTTTCTTTCACTTTTCCACCCTCTCTTTCACTCCCTCTCTATCTTTCTCCCCCTTTCTCCTTTTTTCTCACTTTCTTTCTCTTTCTCCATCACTTTTTCCATCTGTTTGTCTCTCTTTCTCTATCTCGCTCTTTTTCTTTTCCTATTCCGCCCTTTCTTTCTCTCTCTCCCTTTCTCTTCTTCTCTCTCACTTTCTTTCTCTTTTTTCATCACTTTTTCTCTCTCTATTTCATTCTATCTTTCCCTCTTTTTCTTTCCCCTCTTCCGCCCTTTCTTTCTCTCCTTCTCTCCCCCTCTCTCTCTTTCTCCATTATTTCCTCTTTCTCTCTCTCTTTCTCGCCTTCCTGCTTTCATTCTTTCTTATACACATAAAACACACACTAAAACGCTGACATATAAACATACAACCAATTATTCCCATTCGCACGCCTCCGTGCACATGGGTACTCACCCTCACATTACTCGTATTTAAAAGTTACCGAGTCGATGCAAATCAAGTTACTCGGAGCTTTATAATTAAAGTTTGAGACAAATTAGTGAAATTGTTTATCGCAACTTTGATAGAATTCTTTGGTTCCAAAGTTGTTTTTATTTTTTTTCTTTCTTCGATTTGATTTTCTTCTCTTTATTTTTCCTCTTACTAGTACTGGTCTTTCTCTACTTCCATCTCGATTTCAAATTTTATTTAATTTTATTCTTTTATGTTTACTTATTTGTCACGCGAAGTTACCACCTTCTGGCTACTCTTGTCAAAAAGTGATATAGCTGATGCTAGCATGTAGTCTCACGTGTCGTCTTTTCGTTTACAATGTTAATTTCTCTCGGAGAGCATAACGGCCATGGAAGACAGAAAAAATGGTCATCAGCAAGAGAAAACGCCCAAGATGCGTGTTAAAAACTGGAGATATAAACATAAAGCGGTCAGTCAGTTATGTGCCATGCGGGATACACGCTTAGGCAATCATGTATCTTTTGTTACGTGATTAACGAGGCAGGTTTTTTTTTCCCGCGGTAGGTTGCCATTTACTGCGGTGGACCAATTACCATCCAAGGCTATAAAACCCAGTCTGTCCTGCTATTTACCCATAGCTGGGGAGAGAATAACAGAATTCATACTTTTCCCAAGGGTATTAGCATGTAACGAATGTAATCGATTCGACTGGAATTCGAACTCGGCTCTCCGATTCCTCAATCCGTTAAATAACTTTAAATATCGAGGAAGTGTTTTAACACAGGGTAGAATATATCGGCACAGAGATACGCCAACGCACTGGATTAAGGAAATAAGTGTTTTAAAAGCCAAGCAAAGTGCTGCTAAACGGGGAAAATCCATTAGAAACAAAGAAAAGAGTGTTGAATTGCTAATGTGACATCTGTCCTGATATGGCAGTGAATGCTGGTCAATCTTTCCACGGATGAGGAAAAACCTAGTGGCAGCAGAAATGTGGTTCTACAAAAAGATGCTGGTAATCTTATGGACAGGACAGAGTGAGTAAGCAACAAGGAAGTCTTAAAGCAAATGGCAATAGAAAGAACACTTATAGTCAAAATCAGGAAAAGAAAACTGAAATTCATTGGAAACACAATAAGGAAGGAGAGCTTGCAAAACTTAACCCTAACAGGGAATACTGAATGCAAGTGAGATAATGAAAGGCAGGGAACCACATACCTGACGACCTTCTTTGAATGGATGACAGAACGATGGAAGGGACTTAACAAAGGGAGAAAAATTGCTAAGAGCCACACAATGCGATCATGACTTTCCAAGGTTTCCTATGACCTGAAGGGAAGCGACACATAGAAGTATTATACCGGAATAGACATTGAACACAATGTACACCAGACCATAAAAGAAGTTAACTTCACACCTGTAGTAAATTGGGATCTCATCGGTATAACAAAACCTTTTCACCTCAACAAGGATAAATAATGTATGTGTCTATTAACAAACGAAGTATTCTCAAACACATCGATAAGCATAATGTGGTGAACAAGTGAAATAAGCTTATGATTGCTTGCAATTGTAGAAGGAAATCTCTTCTCAAATATTTCAATGCTGGCTACAGCAAATATTCTATCATCTCAGCAATACCTCAATGACTTGTCTCTAAAATTATTTTTTTCCATATCCAGTTACCTCTCTTACGCCATCTTAGAGTGTAACGGTTTTTAACCTGACGTTTTTTTTTATTTCGTTTTATTATTTTTTTTATTATTTTTTTTTTTGTTTTTCATTTCTTTACCCTATATATTTATTTTTATTTTTTTTGCCTACACACGCTTTTTTATTTGGTAACAACAAGCCTTTTAAGTTCATACTGCGATAAACTTATCCGTGGACGCAATACACATTAACGGATCTATATCCCTATTAAACTTACTATTAATAACTTGGTTTATTTCCCCATATCTATCTACCAACACTCTATATTTTGAATTTATACCCCCAATGCTAAATTATATGTATAATAATTTTGAACTTTGAATCCACACATTAATATAGCGTTGCTCCCATAAGATTAAAAAAAAACAACAACAATATTGAACAGTTCGTAACTTTTTCTGCCTGATGATTGGCTAAGCTAGGAATCTTTGAATCATACTACAAACGTAGGTATATGTGTAATTATTAATATATACTTTATAGTTCTGTTTGACTACATTGAGCTGTGTTTTGTCTATGCCATTAATTAAATAGTTATTTGCTAACCTGTATGAGTAACCTGTAATCGCTCATATTTATTGTTAATCGTATCTCTTTTTATTTATATCATTTACATACATAGATACGCATACATATATATATATATATATATATATATATATATATATATATATATATATATATATATATTAATAATGAATAGAGTAT